AAAGTAAGGAATCGAATAATGGGATTGTAAAGAACTGGAGGATACGAAACTGAGGGTAACTCGAGGATGCGAATCTGAGGGCGTTGGCAAATGTAAGGAGACGGGGTTAAAAAGCAAACTGCCTTTGAATTTTGTACAATATTTTTTTTTACTGGCCAATAAACTTTAAAATAAATTTGAATTAAACTTTTAACCACACATTTTATGACATCCACAACTTTTCAATCACATATTTCATTATTTTTATTAAAATCTACTAAAAATCTGATTTTAATCTTTACGAAACAAGGACTTATTATTCTAATAACGTGGCATAAGCATTTTGAATTGTTACGTTAGCGAGTTCGTCGAATTTTCCAGCGTTAAGTTATTGAATGATAGATGAAATAACGATTTGATAAATTCAGTGACGTCTGGATTTCTTTTGAAGATTAATGGCAAATGAATCTTGATTTGATAAATTTGATGATCATATGAACAATTTTTTAAAATTTAATAGCCAATAAAAAATATTATTCAAAGTTTAATGGCCATCCGAATTTTTAATCCAAGGAAATGCAAACAAAAATGCTTCTTTTATTGATATTTTAAGGTAATGATTGACAAGGGACGGGATACTTCGGGGAAATGCATTACCGTTTTGTCCCGTCGAGAATTTCCTTTTCATCAAATTTTTGATTGCATGGATCAAGTCAATCGCGTCCTTAAATTATTCTCTCCACTATACAGCATAATAGTTTAAACAATCAACTCACATATTCTATATTTTATTATAGTACTGTCTTCTAAAACTGCAACATCCTCGAACACTTGCTGGACTAAATTTACTAAGTTTCGAATTCTGAGATTGAGAGTTGGCTCATTCTATTTCTAGGTACATTTCCTGGATGCACAAGTCCTAGAGTGAGAGACACATCTCCTGCCAGAGTACTCCCAAGCCTAACAAGCCCTGCGTTGACACCTTCATTAGTCGATATTCCCAAATCATGCACTCAGGCTGCCTTAGCCTCGTTCGTCATAAAACACCGGTACACGGCTGGCGTCAGGTCAGCACACGTGGTGGATATGGATGCAGCATAGGGGGAGGAGGTGCCACCTTGGAAACTGAGTTGGTTTCCCAAGGTGCACTGCCTATAATTGATGACGTTTTGTGAAGGGTCCTTTTCTGATGCATTCATTTCTGATATTTTGCTTGTTGCTAGTGGTGTGGTAGCAGTGTTGTGCATTGTAGTTTGTGCAGTGGTCACAACAGCAATATTTTGGCTATGGGTTTCTGAATTTGGTTCATTAATATTGTCTTGTGTTGCCGCAGCTGCCTCTTGTTCTTCTTGGAACTCCCGTTGATACATTTCTTCCACCATAGGCTTCCACAGCCTAACCCTAGCATTTATGAACCAATTTGATACCTGGAAGAAGTGAATTTATGATGTTTGGAGAAATTTAGTGCAGTGGATACATGGATCATAAAGAAAAATGCTATAGGTACCCGTCCACTTACTTCCTGGTTTACCTGCTGACGTGGAAAATGAGGGAAAAAAATTAAAAAACCAAAAAAGAAAACCAAAGGAGGGAAACCTGCGTTATGCCCACCAAACCCACCAAATAACCGGGAAATCAAAATCAATTGAAACCTCTTGAAATGGCCACCGGGAAATCAAAATCAATCTAAATTCCCTCTATCCCTATCTCTATCCTTCCCTTCTTCGTCCACCGAGTTAGCAATGGCCACCGCAGCCGCTTTGCAACAAACCCCAATCACCTTCCAGTCTCGGTCTCTCCTCTCCGCCCAGCTCTGTTCCAGGCCCAATGTCAAATTCCTCCTCACTACTGGCGTCAAGCTCTCAAAACTCACAATCAAGCCCCTATTCCGTCGTAAACGCGACGGAGGCAATGCATCTGGAGCAAAAATGGCTGGCTCTGCTGCCGGAAGC